TGCCATAGCTTTCCTCCCCAGGAGCAAGCGTCTTTTAATTTCTTGGCTGCAGTCCCCATCTGCAGTGATCTTGGAGCCCAGGAAAATAAAATCTGTCACTACCTCCATGTCTTCCCCATCTATTTGCCAGGAAGTGAGAGGACCGGATGCCATGGTCTTAGTTTTCTTAATGTTGAGTTTCAAGCCAGCTTTTGCGCTCTCCTCCTTCACCCGCATCAAGAGGCTCTTTAGTTCCTCCTCACTTTCTGCCATGAGAGTGGTATCATCTGCATATCTGAGGCTGTTGGTATTTCTCCCGGCAATCTTAATTCCAACTGGTATTTCATCTTGGCCCGCCTTTCTCATGATGTGCTCTGCATATAAGTTAAATGGACAGGGCGACAGGATACAGCCTTGCCGAACTCCTTCCCCAGTGCTGAACCGATCAACGGTTCCGTGCCCAGTTCTCACTGTGGCTTTCAGCAGCTCCTGTTGCCTGCCTGCCTGCGGACTTGGCCTGCTCAGCTTTCAGCAGCCCCAACAGCAGCCTGTGGCTCCAGGTGCAGTTCTGCATTCCCCTCCACCCCTGTGGGCACATCCCCAGGCCCGGTTTCCAGAGCACGCGTGACCGGGGACTGTGGCAGGGTTTGGTCCAAGGGTCCATATCCGTACTTCGCTGCCTGTTGCTGACGGCAGGCAGCTGTTTAGCCAGTGCAGGGGGTTCTCTATCAGTATGCAGGAACACCTGATCCTGCCAGGTGATGGTTTGAAGAAATCATGCCAGGCAAAGTCTGGTCCTAGTCACTGTCGCTGCCAGTCAGTGGGGAGCTGCTCACGTGCCCCAGGCTGCCCCTTAACATTCCTGGCTGCCCAGAGGTCCCAAATGACAAAACCGAGGCTGCCCTACTTTGGGCACAACATGAGGAGGCAAGACTCACTGGAGAAAACAATCGTGCCAGGGAGAACCGAAGACGGAGGAAGAAAGGGAAGCCAGACGTGAGACTTGGCCTCATGAAGGCAGCCACTGCCTGGAGCCTACAGGCGCCGAGCAGGGTTGGGAAAGACAGACAGGCAATACACCCTGGATGGCTTTCATTCATGGGGGGCCATAAGTCGAAGTTGATTTGACAGCACTCGACTTCGTAACAGCAGCAAACCGCTACGCGATGGATGGTTTGCCGATGATTTTTTTCATTATAACAAGCAGACCCCTCTACAAGTAGAAAGCCTTGTCCAAACATTTCCTGTGAAGAAGAGGAGCCCGAGCCACTGCCCCGCTGTCACTGCCAGGTCGTCCGGCTCCTCAGGAGGACACGAACCAGAGAGGGCCTCCAGGTGGCAGGCTGTGGAGATCGCGGCAGCCGGGACTTCAAGTGGGAGCAGCTCTCTGCCGCAAGTCCCCGGAGCAGCTTTGGGGACTGGGCAGCGTGTGAGGGCAGCGACTGCGAGAACACGGATGCCGCCGACAGCGACAAAGCACAGGGCTGCCGGGCGAGCCGGCGCCGCCCTTGAGCCATCGGGCCAAGCACCACGCACCGGCTCCGTAGGCTGTGCCCGGCGGGCTGCAGGCCTTGCGGGGCACAACGGGGTGAGGCCCAAGCCCCGAGGGATTCCCAGGGCACCGGTGGCCCACGAGGAGCCGACGGGTCACCAGCTCCGCGAGCAGGAGCGTGCTTGTGTGCCGAATCTGGAAGCAACCTGTTGCTCCGAGGCCTGTAGGCGGCTCTGAACGCCAACAAGCACACAAAGGCCTTGCCAGTTCTCCCGAGTGACCCAAACCTGCATCCCGAGAGGGAATGCAGAATTCTGACTCCAGGCAAGACCCAAGCGCACCCCTCGCCTGCAGTGAGCGAGGCCAGTCTTGGCCGTTTTCCCAGCGAGAAAGCAGCTACAAAAGCCCGACCTGAAACAATGCTCAAAGGACACGCAGGGCTCTGCACCTCATGCGCAGTCAGCACAGTGCGCTGCTCCTCGTGCCGCTGCGCTGGCTCCCGCCCGAGGTCTGGGCCTGATTCAAAGCGCGTGCACTAACATTTAAGTCCCACATGGCTTGGGGCCAGCTTATCTGAGGGAAGGCCTCCTCCCGAAGGTCCTTCTGAGAGAGGTCCTTCTGAGAGAGCCCCTCCGAGGAAGGATGCGGCCGCCCACTCACGGAGTCCGCCCCCCGGTGAGGTAGGCCTGGTGCCCACCTCTTTCTCCTTCTGACGCCAGGTGAAAACTTTTTCTTCTCCAGATATTTTAATGGCTAATTTCAATTCTGATACGTATTTTATATCATTGCTGTGCCTGTAGTTTTGACTTGACTGTGGCAGTAGGGTCTCATTGGATTGTGATCCTGTGCTGGAGTTTTTAACCCGATAGTGACGGTGGCTTTCTCGTTATTGGCTGCTCTACTGGTTTGATGTATTGTGTCTGCCTTACATTTCTGATCCTGTTAACTACCCAGAGCACTTTCAGACAACTGGGCGGCATGAAAAGGTAATAATAAGTCCATACCTTTCCTTCGCCACCTGCTTTTCCTCCCTTCCTTAACGCTACTCCGGTCGCTGCTGCTGCTGCTGCTGCTCCCGCCACTGCTGCTGTTTTCGGAGGTGGGAGAGTCTGACTGCACGTCGCTGCTCTCCTCGGAGCCCTCAGAGAGGTCTTTCAACCCGTCTGGAACATCCTTCTGCAATAAAACAGAGAGAGATGCAGAGGCAATGCGCTGGCATTCCCAACGGGGGTGGGAAAGCTGAAGCCCCGAGCCAGAGGCCCGGGGCTACCTTCTGGCTACCAGCGCCAGGGCGCATAGCAGCCCCCGAGGAACCTCTCCTGGGCCAGGCGCCTCCAGCCGGGGCGCAGCAAAGGTGTGCAGCAGCACATCCTCAGACGGTGGCTACTGGGGGTGGCGGATCCTCTACCTCAATCCCTGTCAGAACAAGGATGCCACACACCCTACGCCACCCCCAACCAACACCCACCTAACCTTTAAGGGGGCTGGGGCCACATTGCCCTCCAGAACCCTCTGGAGACTTGGCTCTGCCCACTGCACCTAGATTTGCCCTAGCCACACCCATTTTACAGGTGGGCAATGGGGCACCTTCTCCAAGCAGAATTACGCGTCTGGGCCACGAGGGGTTCTGGTGTCAACCCCACACGCAAGCTGTAGAATCATCGAACAGAAGAGTGGGAAGGGGCCGGGATGGCCCTCAGGTGCAGCCCCTGCTGCTGCAGGACCCCAAGTCACGCCACCCCACTCAGAGGGCTGCCCAGTTTCGTCCTGAATGCCTCCAGGGTGGGAGAGTCCCCCCCATCTCCAGGCAGTGGAGGCTAGCAGCTGGGCCAGGAGCAAAGGGGTAACAGCCCTTGTGTCGAAGAGTTCCTGCCCGAAGCCCCCAGGCAAGGACGCTCGGTCGGCCACAGCATCGCTGTGGCACCTCGTGAAGCAGCCCGGGGCTTCCCGGGACAGGCCACCTCCCCCAGAGCCAGCCCCGCATGCAGGCAGCAGGCATGCTTACCTTCAGGGTGTAGACGCCCATCCTCCCTGGGACCTTATAGAAAATGCCCTCACTCCCACGGGAGTTGGTGTGCAGCATCGCGTTCAGGCAAGCGAGAGGAGAGGTCCCACTAGAAAGAGAGCAGCGGGTCAAGCCCCCCGGCACGCGGGGGGCAGGCTGCCCAGTCCCGGGCTGCTCGGCCACGGCGTGGCAGAGGGGCACGAGGAGCGGCCCCACCGGGCAGGGGCTCCTCAAAGACCCGCCGGCAGCCAGCCCGCGTCAGGCGGGCCAGGTGCAACAGGAAACGACGGACCTGCCGGAGGGGAGCGGGTTCCTTCCTCCGCCACGGCCCACACCTCGTGGGGCAGGGAGCCCTCCGGAGAAGGGGGCCGCCTCCCGGAAGCGAGGCCCTTCCTTCCTGCTTCCAGCGAGCCGGAAAGGGGCCATTCCCCCTCTCCCCCGCATGGCTCCTTGTCTGAGCATCTACTGCTGCAGTGAAGGTGGGTCTCAGCGGGTTCTCCAAGGGTCAGAAGCGTCTGCAAAGTACATGGAGGGGGAATTCACGCCCCGCTGCAACTACAAAGCCAAGGAACGGAGCCAGGAAACACTGCGGGGGCCCGTTCCTCCCCTTTCGGGAGTCAGCGGGGACTCAGGGAGCTGCTGACAAGGTGGAGGGTGCTGAGAACGGGAAGTTCAAGACTCGAAACCGGGGGGTCTGCCCCCGCCCTCTCAGGACCCTCCATCGACAGTGTGGCTCTTGGACCTCCGCCACAGAGAGCCAATTAGCCTACCAGTTGGCAGCTGCCCCCAAGACCGGGACAGACAAGGAGGCCGCCCGGCAAGCTACACGCTCGCGTCCTCGCAAGAAGTGCCGCCGCAGCAGCACAGGGCTTTCAAAGTGCTTTTTAAAAGGGGGCAAAGCCGTGGCGGAGGCTCCAAAGCGTGGAAGACTGCGAGAGGCCGGAGGGGGTTCGCCACCGCTGCCCAACGGCGGCCGATGTGCAGGTCCTTCGGCCCCCGGCGCAGGTGCGCTCCTGCGGCCAGGAGGCACGGCAGCCCCCCAGGACGCAGGCAGCCCCGGCTCAGGCTGTGCGTCCTCAGCACAGCTTCTCCCCGGAAAGCAAGGCACCCTGCAGGAAGTGGCACAAGTTCAGGGGACTCGAGGGCCCACCGCGGCTGCCGCTCGTGCACACGGGGCCTGTGGCTTCGGCCAAGTCACCCCCCGCTGGTTCTCCGACAAGCAGACAACCTGGGACACCTTTGTGTGGAAGGTTTGAGGCATCCTCATTTAGGCCATGTCTGCATATTGCTTATTTGCGGGGGATCGAAGGGGCCCCTGAAACGCTCCCAGGTCCAAGCAAAGACGAGGGTTTCGTGACCTAACCAGTGCAGAAATTTGCATGGCTCCCTCTTACTGCAAGAAATGCAGACACCCCCCCCCACATCTTATGACACGAGGCCTCATGGAGGGTGTAAGACGCCAGTCTCGGCCACGGAGGCCCCCAGCGTCCCTGCTGGAGGGCTGCGGTGGCGTTCCGGAGATTCCACAGTGAACCGCAAGACAGCCCAGGAAAGCCTGGCGTGCCGATCAGAGATCAACCACCCCGGTGGCTGGGCTTCTGCTAAGCTGCCTGCGCTCCGCTGAGCCACCACGTGGGCCGCCAAGCACGAAGGCGGCTGCTCAGGTCGAGGAGGTGGCAGCAGGCCCCGGGGCCCCCCACCCCCCCCACGCACCAGGCCTCCCACAAGCCGGGATCCGGGCAGGCACTGAAGTGACCCCGAGCGTCTTGACCGACTCCACCTGCAGGGCTCGAGCCACGCACCGTTTCTGCATGCGGCCAGTCCCCTGAGATGCTGGTTCAGCTGAACGCTGCGGCTTTTATATATCAACAAGTGCTTACCTTCTGCAGTCGTTCGGAATAGAAAGAAGTGGAAGCAGGGGAGGAAGAAAAGAGAGAATGCTCTTTAAGTATTCAGCAAAGCAACACTTCCACACATTTCCAGTGACCTCTCGCAGGACCCACAGCGGAGATTCTGTCCGGCAAGGGGTGGCAAGGGGCTGCGTTGCAGCGATTTCCCAAAGGGGCCGGGCTGGGCCGGCAACTTGGCTGTGGCGGTCAGTCCGAGAGAGCCAAACCCACAAGGGCTGGAGGGCGGAGGCCGGGTGTCCGGCTCCCCTGAGCTGCAGGGCCCGTGGGCAAAGCCCCGGCCGACGGGGAAAGGTGCTGAGCTGATGCCACCCCCTGGCAGGAGCCAAAGGGACTTGCTGCGAACCCGGGGCCCACTCCAGCTTGCCCTGCCTTCAGCGATCTCAAACACGCTCTGGCTCAGAGGAGAACAAAGCCACATTGCAAGCCTCAGCGAGGGCAGCGAGACGCAAACGAGGCGAAGTTACTCGTCTTCGAGGCGTTCCATGACCACCTGCCAGACTTAAAGCCTCAGCGGCAGGTGTGCATCCTCTGACTTGCTGCCACTGCGAAAAGGCAAGCCAGAGCCTTGAGGGAGCGCCTGAGCGGGCTGGGGACGAAGACTCCCACGCCACCTGCACAATCCCGGCTTTCGGAAGAAACGCTGACCGTGGAAACGCAATGCCTCTCCACACCCACCTGGCATCTCCAGGTGAGCCCCGAGCCTGGACGTCCCTCACTAAGTTCAGGCCGGCTATGCAAGGCATCCCACCAGAAATAACCGGGTTCCCAGGACACCTCCTTGGAGAGAGAGTATTTTCTGTCGCTGGCGAGAAGGCGGGTCTTTTCTGCCAGTGCCCCCATCACAGCACTTGCTCCCCAGAGAGTTGTGCCAGGCACCGGCGTTCCAATGTCAGGCCAAAATCCTTCCATTTACCTGGTTCTTTAATTGCTAATTCATATTTTAATTGTTTTAGTATCAAGTACTGGCACCAAGGAGTGTGCCAGTTTTATTAACTGTTTTATTGTTGATTTAACTGGGTTTTTTTTTAAATTGTGTAAACAGCCAGGAGATTTTTAGTGAATGACAGGATAGGAAAAATTAAAATAAATACATAAAACAGAAACATTCTTGCATGCTCAGCCTTTGCGCCCATGGCCACCGTACACACGTCATGGTAACATTTCAGCCAGGGCTCCATTTAGGAGGCCAGGCCTTGCCGCCTGAATTCCTGCTCGGAGCCAGTTTCGTGAGCACAAATGCAGACAAATTCGCATCGCCTGTAATTACATTCTGACAGACACTTTGCTCATTACTTTTTGGAAAACACCACATCCCTCTTTCCCGTGTCGGAAGGAAATGCCGAGGGGGGCTGAAGCAACTAAAACCAATCATCAAAAATGGACCACAAACTGTAATAAAAGTATGCAAGAATAACAAACCGACCAATAGCATGCGATAAATAATAAAGAGCATTTATTTAAGCAGTAGCCTAGGGAAGGGGAACACGTGGTTCTCCACGTGCTGTGTGACTACAACTCCCACCTTCTCACTCCATTCCCTGTCCTGCCTGGAGCAGATGGGCATCGGAATCTGGCTACATCTGGAGCTTCCCACTACTGCAGCAAACAAAACAGAAGCCTTCTTTGGATGCAAAATTGTCATTCCAGCAAATGTGCCAGGGCAGAGAATTCTGCATTCGGCAGATCAACCATGGTGATGGCTCCCTCGTAATAGGGCAGGGGGACGCACAGAAGGGCCTTGCGGGGTGGGCTGGGACCCGGGGACTGGCTCTAATCCCGCCTAGCCACGAAGCTCACTGGGGAACCCGGCCCATTACTGACTCCCAGTCTAGCCAGCCTCACAGGGCTGTTGCGAGCAGCCACCGCGTGTTCCTTTCAGAGGGAAAACGGTGCAATGCAGTCACGATGAGGCGAGCGACGCCTCGGGAGGGTTCTTCACCCAGTCTGCCTTTGACCTCTTTCATTTACTTGGGTCTTTTGATTTCTGATGGATCATAAGGTTAAACTAAGCAAATTCTTATTCTGATATTACTATTTATTCTCATCATAATTTTATGAGAAGATTCTTGCGTTCCTTATTTTTTGAAAAACACATTCAATGACTTTCAATGAACACGACTGTTGCTGTTGAATCTTTGTTCTTCCTTATGCATGTATTATCTGGATGCGTAACGAAATTTACATCATCAGAGTATTTGCTTGCTACAGTTCCCACAAGAAGCCCATGGCTGCTCAGGGAGCCCTCCCCTGCAGGTCGCTCTCGCCATGGCCCCGAGAATCAGTGGCCGGCCAAAGCTCTCCCGTGAGCCGCGAAGGCAGCCGGGCCGAGCACGAGGTCTCCACGTCCCGGGCCACGCTGGCGCCTGAGGACACACCGAAGGGCGGGCTGGATGCAGGCGGCGAGCCACATCCGACACACCTACCTGGAGCTCGGTGGCAAAGTTCTGCCCTCTAATATATTCCGCGGACGCACCCCCAGAGCAGCACAATGCCCTGCAGGGCCAACACTGTTCTCTTTTTGGAGCCAGGCAAAAACGCCATGAGGCATTTTGAGAACTGAGCTTAGCTTAGTTGATGTTAATGATGTATTTTATACTGATAATTTTATTTTATTATGTTTGTAACTCAATGTATTTTTGTATTTTTGTATTTAATGGTAATTTATTATACTCTATTGTATTTCAATGTATTTTATTGTGCTGTAAGCCGCCCCGAGGCTTCAGCAAGGGCCGGCATAGAAATGTTATAATAATAATAAATATGGTTGTCCTTCTCACTCACTGCATTATTTAAATTACCACTATGATATTGTCACTGTTCTATTATGGTGCTCTTATTGTTTCATTGTTTTTAAGAAATGTGTTTTGATTCTTGTTGGAAGCCACCTGGAAATCTCTGCCAGACAGTTGGCAGCATACAAGGACAACGACCAAGCCACCTGTGCGGACTACCTGAGGAGCACAGATGCCCCCTTGACCTCCTCGGCTGGCTTGGTGACCCTCTTCAGGAGACGCCTGGATTAACTTTTATTTAAACAAGCTTTTGGTTAATTAATTAAATTTAATTTAATACTTTGTATTTTCTTATGGATTATTTAACTTCATTTTGTTTAATTTGCAATGTTATTTGCTATTTTCTTGCATTACCTATTATATCAGATTGTCAATTGATGTTATGCCCTGCTCTGGCAGCTGTGAGCACCCTGGCAGGGTTACCTGGTCACACTCACCTGATCTCTTTCAATCCTTCTTTCTGGATTACCTGGAGGATCTCTTTATGGCTCATCGGTGTGTTGGGATTTTTCTCCAGGACCTGCCAAGAAAGCACAGGATGAGAGCAGAGATGAAAACTGATCTGTTGCTGCAGACACGACTGCCGTGGCACATTCTGGGCAAGGTGGCCCACCCACACGGTGGGCGGGTGGGCAGCTTGCCAGTTACTCAGCAGCACATTGCCCAGCCGCCTCGCCACTCTTGGCCTGCACCGCAGGGGACTGCGCGGCAGAACGCCCCCTCTCCCTGCTCCCCAGTCAGCAGCCTTTCCGCTGGGTGGATGGATCATGCAGGAAGCTCTCCCCACTCGTATCCCCCAGGATATTAAGCTTCCGGAGCCCAAGAGCATGCGATCGCACTCACAAACTTTCCACAAGTGAGGAGGGTGTTTTGGAGGGCTTGTACAAGGCTGCCTGTTCCCCCTAGAGTCCAGCACAGCTGCTGCCCCCCGCCCCTGCTACCTGCTGCCCCTTCCCAGTTGGTAGAGGCCCCTTTCTTCCAAAGGCTGCCCCTGCCCCACTAAAATAGCGCTGCCGGCTCCAGGAATTCCTTCTCCAGCTCCTGCCTCCCCTTCAGGCCTATCCCTGCCCTCCAGCGGCCTCTTCTGCTTGCAGAGCAGTTCCTGGGCTCTGAGTGGATAAATATGCGCCAACCCCAAGTCAAAATAGTGACAAAAAACCCAGCTGAGGAGCAGAGCAGTAAAAGGGGAGGGAGGGGGAAGGGCACAAATTTCCAGACAGAGCAGTGAGACTGCGGGGGAATTACTCACGACTCCTGCTCCCAACAACCCACAATAAAATCGCTGTGCCGGTTTTGGCCTTCACGAGCCCCCTGACTGTTCATCTCAGAAAGAGAGCGAGGAAGGGGAGACATGAAAAGGCAAAGTGTGGAGAACAGAATCGCGGGAGAGAGTTTGCCCCCTGCCCTAACGCACGAACCCGCGGGTCATCGCATGACGCCGACGGGCGAGAGGCTCAGGACCCGCACGGGGCCGTCCTCCTTCGCACAGCAAATGCTTAAAACAATTCAGGAAGTGGCGATGGCCTCTGAAAGGGGACTGGAGAAATTCGGGAGGAAGGAGGCTCTCGGTGGCTCCTGGCCTCGCTGGCGATGGGCTCCCTCCTTCACCGGAGGCAGCGCGCCGGCGACCCCGGCTGCTGAGGGGCTGGGCAGGCATGAGCAGGAGGGCCACGGGGGGAAGGCGACACATCGTTGAGGAAGAGCCTGCCAAGCACGTACAGGAAAGACAGAGAAAAGAACAGGCAGCTGATCGTGGTCCCACCTTTGGGACACCCTGCATCTCGTCACTTAGCATGCGGACAGGAAAAGCCCACCGGGACGCCGGGAGCACTCCGTGACCCATCAGGAGGAGCGGAGTGCATTGCATACTAAAGTTTAGAGGTGACATGTGTAAGAGGCCGCTCGGAGCTGCTCTGTGCACCTCTGTTATGCAAAATGAAACATTTTTAGTTCAAAGGGGGGGAGTTGGGGTTCCCCTAATGCTCAGCCCCCTTATCAGGTGGCGTCTCTTGCACCCCTCCTGCTCGAAGGCCCCCGGGGGACCGCCCGCCATGTGCACGGGTGCCGGGCTAGACGGAGCTTGGGCTCAGCACCCTTTGCAGCAGGCAGAGCTCAGGGTTCTGGCAGGCGGCCGGGTGGAGCCGCACAAGGCACAGCCACCGCACCGCACCGCAGCTCCAGGGCGGCGCATACACACACGCGCCCCGCAGGGAGGGGTGGCAGGGACGCTGCAGCGGAGGCGCTCTGGCAAGTGGCGCGCTCTTCAGCACTCCGGAAAGCTCCTCATTCTCCCGCCACAAACGGGAAATCGCACCAGGGCCTGGCCTGGCCCGGCCCCAAGCCACACGGCTGCAACAGGAGCGCTCGGCAGCCCCGGCCTGGAGACGGCAGGGAAGGGCTGGAGCGAGGCTGGGGAGGGGGCTCTGGGCGGCGAGTCATCCCCCATGCGGCAGGTCCAGCATGGCCGCCGGGGAGGGAGAGGCAAGCGCTCAAGCGCCGGGAAGGCCCTGAGGGATCTTCGTGGCTCCCAGGCGCAGGGGCAGTGCTCTCCTGCATCCCAGCTGCCGGGGGACGTGGTTGGGAGGGCCGGGCGCCGCGAGCCCAGCTGGAGGGGACGGGGCCCCTCGCAGGGGACCGGCAACGGTCAGCCAGCAGCCAGTTCCCGGAACCCTCGGAGCGGAGTGCCGGGGGAGGCCCAGGCCTGCTTGCAGGCAGGGTGGCTCTCCACGCCCTGCCAAGGTCGCAGGCCACCTGATCAGCCACTGACCTCAGTGCGTGAGCCGCAGAACCCCCCTTTTCTGTGCGCTCAGCCCCCTGGGAGCCGCGGTGCTGAAGGACCGGAGCAGCCGAGGCCGGACTATCCTGGCCTGAGGGAGATCGTCTGAGCGTGGGCTGCCTCCCAGCACGGCCAGGAGCTGCAGGAGAGCGGCACGCGGCTGGGTCTGGGGCACCAGGCCCACAGAGGAGGCCCCTCCCCAAGGAACACGGCTCCCGAAACGTGCGTGGCCACGGCTGCCTTGGACTGTGAGAAGCGCTCCGAGGCCAGGGAGCCGAGGGGGAACCTAAAGCATTCCGAATAATTCCAGTCACGAGCCAAGGCACCCAGGCGGCTTTGTCGGGCGGCACGAGGGACGCACTGCAGGACAGGTGTTCTTGGAGCCTGCGCAGACTGCATGTGCCTTTGGGCCAATAACAACTCACGGCAGGACACGCAAAGGCCCGTGAGGCGAGGGGGAAGCACCCCAAGCTGCTCTGCCAACTCCAACCGCGCCAGCTGCTCCGAGCGGTGCGCCAGCGGTGCCGGCAGACCGAAGCAGCCACGCCAGGATGGGCCACTCGGTGCAGAGGCCACCGCTCGCCCAAGCAGGACCAACCTTTGGAGGGAGGGGCGGTAGGAGCGGATCCCAGCCCACCGCAGGGGCAGAGCGGAGCCATGCCCACCGCACCGCCCAGAAGGTTCGAAGCCAAGCGTTTCCTCATGCGACCGGCACCTCACTTCCCTGTTGCTCCGGAACACGAGAGGGGCAGCGACCCTTCGCTCCAGCAGAACAAAGCAGCCCAGCAGCGCACGGGGAAACATGTAAGCTCCCTACTCACTTTCGCACGGGTTGCCACTGCAAGCAATACCAAGGGAAGCAGGCGCAAAATCTGCGGCCTTCCTTTGCCAGAATACGGGTAACTGACCTGGCGGGGCCCCACTCCGAGTGCTGGCACGCTTCCAGCGGAGCTGGAGGCACCAGCGCACGGGGCCCAGGCTGCCGAATGTGCGCGCTGAAGGCAGCTACCCGTGAAAGCGGGAGCAGGAGCTATGCGACTGTGCAACGAGGCATTCAAGAGGCGGCTGGACAGCCCCCGGGGGGGGGTGCTCTGACTTGGCGTCCTGCCCTGAGCGGGGGCTGGACCTGATGGCCTTCCTGGCCGCCTCCAGCACCGCAGTTCTAGGACACCATGATCGTCGTCTGTTTGACAATTACAGGGACAGGCGGAAGCTGCTGAATTTCCGCCCTGAACCTGTGGAGGGAGGAAAAACCGACTTCGCACGCTGCAGCTGCGTGTCCCAAGGGCAGAGCGCCCCTCCCAAAGGCATGCCCGTTCTGGCAAAAGCACGAGCGCTGCTTTGCGCCCCCCCCCACCGTGAGCGCCCGTCTCCTCCAAGCAGCACCCTTCAATTTTACTCAGCGCTTGCAATCTGCCTTCCATTGTCTGCGGGTCTGTTCGCTCAGTATTGAAGAATTGCTGCGCATCCGCCCCTTTCGCCACCAGCTCCTCCTCCTCGTATCTAAAATAGTTCCGTCATCTCAGGGACCGTTTGTTTAAGTTCCCTCTGGTCAGACATGGAGTAGAAAATGTTTTATCTATAACTTTGCTCATAAAATTGTAGTGCTTGAAGTACTACCTTTAAATATTTAGATACATTTTATTTCGATGTTATTTACATTAGATAATAATGACTAATTTACTGAGTGTACTTTTAAATGTTTTTAATTTTAAAGATGATTCTAGAACCAAACCACACTACCAATGATGGACATTATGTTTCGCAAGTGACTCTGAACCCGTAAAGTATGTTTTAAAGAAAGCCTTGCGGGCGTCCCCCAGGATCTCCGCTCCCTCCACTGGCCACAAAATTCTCAGGAATTCTGCCTCTCTGGCTGGGATGCGGAGGCATCTCCTCAGTGCTCGTCCGCTTGCACACCTCACTTGGTACAGGCTTTTCTGCGCGTTTGTTCTCATCTCCTCCTCCCGCTTTTGGTAAAGGATCTTGCTTAACAATTCATCAAATTAAGCAGCTCTTAGCCAGCTCCTGCAGGAAAGAGAAACCATCTGGACCTGCCCTTTCCAACGTGGTGCCTTCCAGAGATTTTGGATTTCGACTCCCATCACTCCCCGCTTGCACGGGCAACAATGAGGGATGCTGGGAGTTCGCTCATTCCGTTTCGACATCATCCAAAACATCGGGAAGGCAGGCTGGGGACACTGGTCTAACAGCAGAGCAGAAGCACATGATTAAGGGAAGCCGGCAATACGGGGAAGGGCCCACGCAGCCCTTCTTAGCAAGGGGGTCACCAAGGACCTTCCAAGTAAATTCTGTTCGGCTGAGTCAGACTATAAGCGATCCTACGGGCCAAATCTCGCCACATTTTTTGATCCAGTGCACCTCTTTCAGCTGAACTATGCTCTCGCCTGCATCCTCTTCGATGAAGTCTAGCCACCTCGCTGTTCGGCTACCTGGTTTAAATTAGCTTGGTATAAACCGGTTTAAAAACCCAGGAAAAATTAATTTTCTGGATCTCTGAAACCTGTTGCTTTGGCAGGCATATCATCTGCAAGAGACTCGGGCGGGAGCAGAAACTGGCAGTCGACGCTAAGCATATAGTGGAGATAAAACTGAGGTCCCACCTTAATGCAGGTAGGGCCAATTCACTCCTGG